GAAGTCTGTTTTAAATAGCGATAGTTTTGTACTACAATGTAGCCTAGTGATATAAGATTTAAAATAACAATACTGTTTACTCTTGCATAAATGAAACGATGTTCGACGTATAATTTTTTGTCGTCCTGTCAACGATGCAGTTGTAGATTTGCATGGTTTATGTGTAATTGAGATATTTTTGTAATGTTATGTAGTGACAAACTGTTTGTTTAATAGTAACAGATTTGTAATAGATTTGTAAATAAATGAAGACATAAATTAATGGTAGAGTCATAAAATCATATTGAAATATTTGAACCTGCTTTCTGTCGTAACGGTTAGATCTAGGGTTTCTTGCTGTTGGTTGCAGAAGATGTGGGGTTGTTGTTGTTTTTGTTGTTGTTTTTTTTGTTGTTGTTGTTTTTTTGTTTTTTTTGGGGGGGTTCGATTCTCGGGACAAGGTTCTTTCGTGTTTTTTTTATTGTTGTTTTGTTTTGGGCTTTTTTGTTTTGTTTTGTTTGTTTTGTTTTTGTTTTTGTTTAAATCAGATATTTCCATTTTACTACAAGGGGGGCTCTCGTGGACTAGAGGTTAAGGTGTTGGCCTCTCATTCAAAAGGTCCCGGGTTCGAATCCGGGTAGCGAACGAAAAATTTTCTTCTCTAAATTTGTCTCCTTTCACCTCCTGTCCTGCTCTCTATGTTCTGTTGTCTGCTTTCGTCTCCTCTTCCTGCCCCCACCCCCTCACCTCCTTTGCCCCTTCCTCTGGGCTCCTGATTCTTTCTGCAGCCTTTCTACTGATCTTATGGTTGGAAAGATCTACACCTAGCCTTCTCGGACAAGGGCGAAAAATCTTGGAGGGCCCGTGTGCAAGTTGCGCACGTTAAAGATCCCTTGGTGGTCTACAATCGATAAGAATAGGCTTCGGCCGCCACCCGGGCAAAAGTCAAAATTTCCTACCAACTGAAAATATTAGGTGTGTCCCACGCGCTCATATGACCTTATGCAGTTGCGAGCGCTGTAAAACACTTTACAATAACAAAAAACTTGCGTCTGACTTCACCACAATGCAACACACGTTGTGTTTTAGGAGGCTGGCTGTTGGATGGACTGCCAGCCAACTCAAGAATTGCTTTTTTTATGCCATTTTAGTTTCGTACTCGTCGTGTGATACATTCCGACACCGGCCTGCTAAAATTAAATTCTCACAAAGACAATTTAGTTCTTACATAGATGTATGCTGACAAAGACAAAACCCACAAAGACAAATTCTCACATAGATGTATACTGACACAAAGAGAAAAATCACAAAGACAAATTGTCACAATAATTAATTCTGACAAGAACATAAACCCACAAAGAAAGACGAATTCTCGCATAGATATACATGTACATGTGAGGCAGCGTGGTGGAATCAGGCTCTCGTCAATTTTTGGCCATCTAGAGTTATTGATATCATCTTAAAGCTTGTTCACTTGTCTTTATTTGGATGAACAAAAATATCCATAATCTTGAATACAGGTCGAGATATTTGCGAATGAAGGAGGTTGGGGTCACATGTTTTCAGAGTTAAAATTAGTGAGAAAATAGTCGCCAAAGATTAGTTATTTCCTTAGCCTAAGAGTCCGTGGTAACTGAAAAATTACAATTTTTGTGCCTTTAATCCACGTTTTACAGAAAAATCCACACAAATATGCGTTCTTTAATAGGCATGAAAGGTGTTGAGCCAAATAACAAAAATTTGATAAAAATTCACAAACCTGCGGAAAAAGCAAGTTTCTTCATTTTGATTTTTTTTTACGAGACCCTGATTCCACCACGCTGCCTCACATATGCTGACAAATGCACAAACCACGAAGACAAATTCTCACAAGCTGACAAAGACAAAAGCTTATGTGTATTTTTAAAAATCCAACTAAGACAGACAAAAACACACTATAACAGAATCATCATCATCATCATCATCCAGTGCCAGATCTGCGACAGACATCGGCGATCATGGTTCTCTCTTCATTCCTTTGCTCGGATGCTCTCAAAAAAGCTACGTTTCCCTGATCTCTCCCTGTTACCCATTTGTTTAGGTTCCCTAAGTATGTTGTTCTGGGCCTACCTCTGCCTCGTTTGCCCTCAATTTTGCCAGTGAGAGCTAGATGTTCAAGACCCTTATGTCTATTCAGTTGTCCCAAAAATGCATTTGTCGTTTCCTGGTTGTTTTTAACATTGAGCGCCCCATGTGGGCTTCATCAAGCACTTCCTCATTTGATTTCTTTTCCTTCCACGATACTCTTAGCAGTCTCCTAAGAAACCACATTTCTGTTGCTTCTATTTTATTTTTTACTGTCTTTAGTGATTGTCCAGCATTCACAGCCATACAGAAGGGTTGACTGTACATAGCAATTCAGAACTTTCATTTTGGTGTTCATTGAGATGTTTCTATTGCTCAGGATTGGGCTCATTTTATTGAAACTAGCATTATCCATTGTAATTCTCCGTTTTATTTCTGTGGAACATTTGGCATCAGATGTTATCATATTATATCCTAAATAATAATATTTGAACAGTTGGACTTGTCTGATCTTTTCACCTTTGCTAATGAGATAACATCTAGGATTTACTGCTTTTTTATATTACATGTACCTTTCATTCTGTTTTCCTTTCATTCAACAATAATCCTTTACTTTCGTTTTCTGTTACAACAGTATCTAGAAGCAATTGAAGGTCCTTTTCAGAGCCTGCTATCAAAACTGTGTCATCCGCATGCCTGATGTTATTAATATTTTCTCCATTTACTTTGAGACCTGCCCTTGTCTGGTACAAAGCCGAATTGCATTTTAGATATCTCTGGTCTTACACTTTTTCTCAGTCTTTCCATAATTACTCGCAGCAATAATACTATTTTTGTAAAATGACCCAAAAGGCTAACATATCACACTCAGTGGCACCTGGTGTTTTAGATAAAGCTATAAAACTGACTTCATCATAATATCTTCTGGGATCTCACCGCTGTCATAAACAGCATTTAAGAGCTTTGTCGTTATTCCAGTGCCTTGTTCTTCAAGGGCGACAATCACTTCAACTGGAATATTATCTGGCCCTGTGGCTTTTCCTTGTTTCATTTTCCTAATGGCAGCTTGTACTTCTGCTTTTAGTATTGGAGGTCCATTTATTTCATTCTTTATTACCGGTTTTTCTCCTCTATTATCTTAGAAAAGTTCTTCTATGTATTCTGACCACCTGATTAAGACATCCCCACTGTTCATTAAAAAAAATCTCCTTCTTTTGATCTTATGCATCCTGTATTTGAGCATCCTTTTTATCCCACTTACTTCTTTGATTTTGGAATGCATGTATTTGCTGTCTTTCTCTTGGTTCTTCTCTGTTTGTTGACACCTATCATTTATCCATGTTTCTTTTGCTTCGTTGCATTTTTTCTTTATTTCCCTGTTTAAGATGTTGTACTTTCAACATTTGATTTTGCCTTTCTTCTCTCTTCCATTAGTTTTAACATGTCCTGGGTCATCCATTTTTTATTTGCTCTTTTAGCTTTCGGGAGGATATTTTCGACCACAGCTTCCATTATTGAGTCTGTCATTTTCATCCACAGTTCTTCCGATTTAGTAATGTTTTCCAAAGCTTGAAATTTATTGCTTGCATCTATGGAGAAACGTTCTTTCAGTTCTTGATTTGTCTTTAAAAGATCTATGTCAAATTTTGGTTTGTACTTTGACTTTTTAAGTTTCTTCAGTCTCATCTGTATTTTACACATGACTGGTACATGGTCACTATCATAGTCTGCTCCTGGCATTGATTTAGAGGATTTTTATTGTATTTCTAAAACGTTTCTGAATAAGTATGAAGTCTATTTGATTTCTACTTCTATCACCAGGACTCTTCCAAGTGTATCGTCTTCTTGGGTAATTTTCATACCAGGTGTTTGATATCATAAAATTATTTCCTCTGTACCATTCTATCTATCAGTCGTTACCCGCGTTCATTCTCTTTACAACAGAATGCATCAATTTATTGAACACGAACAGAACCTAAACTAAATTCAGTTCCTACGTTCTTTTTTCTGTACTACCCCCACATCGTTTGACAAGATAGTTTTGTTTTCTCTTTTCTTTCAAGTATTACTTAGTTTCATTATGTGACCGTTTATTAAACTTTATAACACCTGGAAAAAGTCACTACCGGTACCACAAACAAAATTGTTTTCCCAAATTAAAAGGGGGGGGGGGGGAGGGGGGGTGGACTACAACCCCAAAGTCCACATTCGGCCCAAAATTATGGAATTTGAGTTGTAGGCATTTTTAGCTTCCTCAGCCTCTCCTACAACTATTTCATGGCCCAAGAACCCCCCAAAACCGTATCTTTTTCCCATACTGGGCATGTTTGTCACCGCCATTTCCTCATTAAGTCAGTATTTTATTTTTCTTTATCGGCTGTTTTCTCAAAACGCGACTTTTCTCTATACTTTGTTTGAATAACTCCACTGTTTTTCATCCAATCTTCATGAAATTTTCACAGAATGACGAGATGATGTAATACTAAAAACTTCTCTGTTGAATTTTTGATATATGGAATAGATTTTTGTTTGTGGTGTCTGGAGTGTGGATTTTCACAGATTTTTTGCAAACTTGAATGCTACCTCAGGAAAAATTTCATTAAAAATTTTCTAATTCGTTTAGGAAAAAAACTGCAGACAAGTTTTTAAATCTAATGTTTGTGAACACGCATGCAAAAAACAATTAATTTCCATGAGCAATAAGTGCGGTATTCATTACGTAAGACATGTCAACAAAATCCAATATGGCCGCCGTATCCATGGAAACGAAACTTTTTCTCAAATTTGATTGCGGATTTTAAGGCTCCTTAGTGTGCTTGTTAATGTGTGAAATTTGGTAAAATTCGGTCCAGTGATAAGCGAGATAGCCTTCAGGGGTAGCCCCCCCCCCCCCCCCCCCCATTTAATTCAGAATTTTCCTGAAACCGACAGAAATACAGTAACAGCTCGAGACAGTATGAACCATAATATTTCCTTTTATTTGTTAACTCTTAAACAGTTTCCACTGGTAGGTCTGTGTGTGACGTCTGTCGTTGAAGACCCCCACGAGTTGTCCACGGGGAGAAAGTGGGGTGGTGGTGGTGGTTGGTTTGTGGTGAGTTATTCAGACGGCAGGAGCAGCGGGGCACACGGTGGGGATTTGGAAGAGGCTGGCGTCGCTGATAGACAGTTTGGTGCCCGTGTAGATGATGAGCTGATCAGGCACACCTGTTGGGGAGGGGAGATGGGGAGAGAGAGAGGGAGGAGGGGGAGAGATGGAGGGGAAAATGGGGAGGAGGGAGGGGGAAAGGTGAGGGAGAGGAGTGGGAAGAGGGGATGGGGGGATCACGACATTACAGGAAAAAAAACCTATTTACTATCAACAGGCTGAATAAAGTCTGGAGCAAAATGAATGAACGTATGACAGAAAGAATGAATGAACGAATGAATGAATAATGAAGTTACAGGAAAAACCAACATATTATCAACAGGCTGTGTTAAGTCTGGGGCATTCCTGCTCCATTCTTGAACTTCTGCTCCCGGGTTCTCTCTTTTATCTCTGTTTGTTTAGGGAATGAATGAATGGATGAATGAATAAATGAATGAAAGAAAGAATGATTCCATGAATGAAAGAAAGAATGACTGCATGAATGAAAGAAAAAATGAATTAATTAATTAATAAATGAAAGAAAGAATAAACGAATGAATGAATTAATTAATTAAATGAATGAATGAATAAATACATTAATTAATTAATGAATTGAATGAATGAATGAATAAGTAAATAAATGAATGAAATTTTTAAAAGTTAGTCTTAGTAGAGGTTTTACGGCGCTCGCAACTAGACTGCATAAGGTCATATGAGCGCCTAAAGGAATGAACGAATGAATGAATGAATAAACAAATGCATAAATGAATGATAGAAGAAATGAATGAATCAATGAATGAGTGGAACTTATGTGCATCCTTTAAGTTTAAGATGAGGGACACGGCGTAGTTCCTTTCTACCTGATTGAAGTCTGGGACATTGCTATACATATTTCTTCTGCTCACAGCTTCTTTCGGTTATCTCAGTTTGTTTAGGGCATTAATGAATGAAAGATTGAGTGAATAAATGAATGAATCAATCAATCAATCAAAGAATGAATGAATTAATGAACTAATGAATGAATGAGTGAATGAATATGAATGAATAAATTAATGAGAGAAAGAATAAATGAATGAATGAATGAACTAATGAATGAACGAGTGACTGAATATGAATAAATAAATCAATGAAAGAAATAATAAACGAATGAATGAAAGAGCGATATGTAGAAAGAAAGAATGAATGAATGAATGAATGAAAGAATGAATGAATGAACAAATGAATAAATGAATGAATGAGTGAGTGGATAAATGAGTGGAACTCACGTGCATCCTTCAAGATGACGGGCACGAAGTAGTTGCCCACTGCCTGCAAGGCCATTCTGCTCACGCCGAAAGGAAGAGGGACGTCCCACACCTGGATGGGCAGGGCGTTGTTTCCCGCTCCCAGAGTAGTGGTGGTCAAGAGGGTGGAGTTAGCTGTGGGTGGTGACGGTAACGGTGTTACATGTGACGGTAACGGTGTTGATGGTAACGGTAACGGTGTTGATGGTAACAGTAACGGTGGAGTCAGTAACGGTAGCGGTGATTGTTACGAGGGTGGAGTTAGTTGTTGGGCGTAACAGTAACGGTGTTACGTGTTAACGGTGTTGTTGGTGACAGTAAGAGTGTTAAATGTAACGGTACAGGTGTTGATTGTAACGGTAAGTATTTTGTTGGTGACGGTAAGCTTGTTGGTTGTAACGGTGAGGGTGGAGTTAGCTGTAGGGGGTAATGGTAACGGTAACGGTGTTACATGTAACGGTAACAGTGGTGATGGTAACGGTAAGGGATTTAGCTAGCTGATGTTAACCGTAAGGTTGGTGGGGAGAGGGGGGAATTTTTTTTTCTATATTTCCGGCGGGGGGTAGGGGGGTGTGATGGTAAATCCAAGCTTTTTGCTGGTTCAAAATAATAAAATTAATGTGAAAATACGACACTGTCATTATAAGGCTTTAGAATGTGGTCTCCCGGGGGGGGGGGGGGGGGCAGAGAGGGGTTGTGACCGCTACTTACAGTACAGTACAGTCAGGATTACATAAT